GTGCCAAATCGATACTTTTAAAACGGTTCTGGTGCCTAAACGGTGCCTGAACCGATACTTAAAAAAATAAAAATAAATAAATAAATACCCAAAATAGGATGGATTGGCCATTATTGAGCGCTATAAACACATTTAATGTCTGTTTCATTCATACTGGATGCCAGAGGGCGCCCTCGCGCAGAAACTCCACATGTACATCACAGAAGGAATAGGAATAGGACTTTTGAATGATAAAACAAAGACAATAAACACTCGACTGCGACAATGTATAGTTTATCTAATACATGACAACTTTCCTTCTAGACAATTGCCAACAGTAACTGTGACGTAATCTCCAGGAATCTGTCAACATCCATAAGAACCATCATACGATTCCATCAACGATTGACGACATAAAGTACCAGCGTTTTTTCAGTTTAGAAATGTGCGTTTTATACATAATTAGTGATATTAATTCTCAGCCCAGCCGGTTATAATCTACATTAATAGACTACCATAACGGCCAATGAAATGTCTTTTGCATATCTTTTTTTATTTTAAATGTTGGCCTGTCTGCTTAAATAAATCGCATTTCATTTCAAAAGCCTGTTTCCAAGCCAGTATCCAGGTTGTGCAAACAATATCAAGGGATATTAGCAGGGGTATTAAGGGTGCTTGTAAACCGGCGTCGAATACAAGTCTTTTTTCCGATCCGGGGAATTAAGGATGCACGGAAGCCACCAGGGGCCCATTTGGCTTCAACCCCTGCTGCACCCTCTTGAGAACTTTTTTTGCGGTCCACCGGCGGATGGATGGAGTAAGCTCTAGTTCATTTCAATTCCCGCAGCCACCGATACCAATTTCTTGTTTGTACCTGTTTGTTAAAGTGTTGGCTTTTCGGGTGAGCTTCGCCAGAACCGTATGCAGTCCGTTTAGATGAAAATGAAACTGCTTCTCCAAGTCCTCATCGTTCGGTTCAATGTGAGACATCTCCAGGGCCGTCGTCACGCCGTGCTTTTCCTTGCGCCTCTCGTCGGCTTGAAGTACACCCCATTCGATATCGTTCCTAATTGATTTGAGGAGCACATAAGAGCCGTACATGTCTCCCTCCTGGAAGGAGTTCACCTCTTTCTCCCCTTCCTGGTCCAATGGGACATCCCTCAGCAAACTTGGCACCATAATCGTCTGGTCCATGTTGTTCACGGCACCAATAAACCGGTTCATGGCATTGAAGAGGGAGTTTTTTTGGTTGTAGGAATCGCAGATTTGCATCATCTTTGCTGTCCTATTGACCTGCAGGGCTTTGATCAGAAGCAGAACGAAGAGCAGCAGTAGATGCAGTTATTCTTGGGCTGGACGGTCCAGATATATCTAATGGAGGGTTTATCCGCTATTACTCGTGTCCAGAGAGTGCTCAGGTTCCTTGTGCGCTTCACTAAAGTGAGTTTCTGAAAGCGCAGGTGGATTTAAAGCAAGGGCGTGGCTTGCACACGTCAATCAAACGCGTAACCAGGTCGTAACCGGATAATGTGACCTGAAATAACACAGATGCGTGAAAGATTAGTGGGGATGCACACAATATTATATAATCAAAAGAAAAATCTGTGTGAAATGTAGAATACGAGGCAGAGAAGCCAAGAAATATAAAGAATAAATTTACTAATCTTTTTCAGAGTATGTACAGACATGCTTTGGGATGAAATATACAGATTATTAGGTATTTAGTAAAACTAATTCGAATTGAATTTAAATATGTATTAAAAACTGTATTCTGAACGCGCATTATATGCTTCCTACCACTCCTTGATTTTCTAAAGGAAAAGCCGGCCGGCAAACTAAGCGTCAATCTATCGAGTCTAACAAATAACGCAAGCTTCTAAACACCCACCTTTGCTGATATTAGTCTTCCCTTAAATCCGAAAACGTCCGGCAAAGTCCAAGGAAACCGATGATAAAGTCGCTGAAAGATAGCAGACTCGTCTAGCAACCGACCGAGGGTGAGGCCGCGTGTAGCTCTATGCCGCTTATGAATATTCATGAGCCGAGGCATCAGCCCACAGCCGCTCAGCCGCTCTAGTCCAATCAGAAGCCAGTCGCCAGGAGGACGGCGCCTCTCGACAGCCAATCAGAGGGCAGAAAGGGAATCCAGCAGCGTGCAAAGGCTGCAGCTCGGTCAAAGACACGACAGTGGACGAGAAGAATAGCGTATGAGGGAACTACCGGACCGATGAAAGTACCTTCTACATTGCGTATAGAGCTCATACTTACAGTGCCAGAACGGTTTCTTCAATCGCTTTATTTTCACTTCCCATTCTTAAATGTCGAATACCAACTTACAGTTTTTTAAAAAATATTTTTGTGTGTATAAATGGAGCTTTCTGATCTTATACCACTTTTCAAGGACAATGGCTTTATATGCCAGCAAGAACCGAAAATGCTCTTCACATCATTAGAACGATATTTGAAGATAGCTGAAACATATAAAGGTAATTTTTCACAAAGTGACAAAAATACATAACAGTCTATATTTTATATAAACTTTATTTTTAAAAAAGTTCAAAGATTATTCCTAAAGAGGTCGAATACCAAACTTAATATAAAAAATAAAAAAAAACTGTATTTTTGTGTCTTTAAATGGAGCTTTCTGATCTTACCACTTTTCAAGGTTAATGGCTTTATATGCCAACAAGAAAAACTACCGAAAATGCTCTTCACATCATCAGAACGATATTTCATGATAGCTGAAACATATAAAGATACTAATTTTTCACAAAGAGACAAAAATACACGACAGTCTGCTTTATGCATTTTTTTAAATGTTCAGTTTATTCCTAAAGAGACTAGGCCTATGCCAAGCCTGCACAGATCAGTGGAATTATGCAAATACTAACTTGCAAATATTAGTATGATGTATAATGACACAAGGGAAAAGGGTGAATGTCATAAATCAAACACAGAACTACATACAGCCTCACCAAAATGTATTTGTTCGCTCAAGTCGCTTTTTCAGTCGTTGCTTTGAATAATATCAAGGAAAGTGAATTTTATTGTAAAGAAAGCTAGCACAAGAACACTATGCAAAACACGTCACAAAATGAGGTTTGTTTGGGTTTTAAATGATAAAACAGTAGGTAAACTGTTCAAAATGTATTGGACACTTCGTTATCAAAAGTAAGTGGAACATGTTCATGTAGACTCCACTTGTTTTGATGTTTCAGATCATTTTTAAAAGTGTCAGACAGATAGTACTTGCTTTTTGGGGGGCATTAGATCTGTTCTTTATATATGATCTTATGCTCAGAAGACGCAATATCTGCATTAAAATCCATGTCTGCATGATTATTTGCATGGGCTTTCCCAATGAACGGAGATCTCCTTTCGTTGTGGCGGCTGCGGCCCCGTTACGTTTTTCAACAACATCGTGGTGCCATCTAACGGTCAGGAAGGGAACAGCGTTCTGCCTTCAAGCCATGATAAAACAAGCGAGGCCATTTTCACACCATTAGGGTGACCATACGTCCTCTTTTTTCCCGGACATGTCCTGGCCGGGATTTCTAAATTGCTTTAAAAGTCCGGGTTTTCGCTTTGTTTTCCTATTGTTTATATACTTGCTGAAGGCAATGACTGAGAAGTAGTTTGACCAATACCATGCAGGCAGTGTATAATCGACCAATCGTGGCATTCGAGATGGTGGGATCTACAGAAAATGGTCAAAAGCAATGCAAATATGCGTTTATAACTAATGTACGTACAAGGACAGTCGAGAGCACGTCAACAGGAAAACAAAGCCAAACCTGGACCTTTTACCCAATTTAGAAATCACGACCAGAACGTGTCTGGGAAAAAGAGGACTTGGGGACCTACACATGATCCCCATCCATCCAGTTCAACCACAAACACACAAACCTCAAATGAAGACAAACCAGAAGCTGATAACGACGAAGAACCATTTTATTCATAGAGATCACGGGTGTTTACAATATCAACGTACATTTTGTTGGCATGCTAGCTGGTGATGCATTTTAAAAAGTTTTCTTTTTATTATACAAAGTATATTATTACTCCTCTCGTCTATCTGGAGATGTGTAGTTCATCACGTGTGTTCAGACTATGAGTTCTGGAACCTAATACCGTACTTCAAGACCCATCAACACAAGGGGCAGCTGCAGAAATGATGGTTTGACATTAATATAACAGCTACACGTCCTAAATGAAAATTAATGATCAATGAGAAAACCATACAAAACAATAACACAAAATTACATTTAAAAAAGAGAAATGCACATTGACACACGTAAATATGGAATTCAGTTGACGGTACTTCACGATTCAAAATAAAAAGTAAAGAAAGCCAAAGACTGCAGCGATTTCTACCACACATGCAAATAAATAAACAATAAATAAACAGCAGAGGTGTCTAAAGCTTGGTTCATTCTTGCAAAAATGAACCAACAAAGCACTTTATTATGCAGAAAACCTCCAGAAAACCTGTGATTATTCCACTTTATATAATGTTGTAAATCAAATTCCTCCAGCGTTTAACTATCTGTTTTTAAGAGCTGTTCTCCTGCCAACATAATCACTCTAGCATGACATGATGCTGATTAATATTATATTTACTTTGAGTAAAAAGTAATATAACAGTGTATGTATATATATATATATATATATA